GCCCACCAACGCTGTATGAAACCGAAGTCAATAAGATGAAAAAAAACAACTGTGACTAATCTATACATGAAAATTATTTTTATTTTTATAAAAGTATCATAAACTTTCAGGAATGATTGCACATTTAGTATCCCAAATCTGCACAAAAGAGAGGACAATCTTGCTTTCATGTAGAGAACATTATTGACTCTGAATTTCAGTAATCCAAGGAATAAATTTGGGCCTCTCTTTCGAAGAATACAAGAGTACACATTTTATAAGCCGGTGCACGAAAATATAAAGCACACCCAAATTCTAATAAGGGGCTAAACCACTCGTGTCCAGAAAAGCTGTATGTATGTGGATTTCGTAAAACATAACTAGTGTGTCTCTCCGCATCCCCGATCGAAATCTGCACATCTTTCGTAAGACTCCCAGTGCCCGTGCTCCTGTCTTAGTCGTATGCCCAAGGACGCAGTTATCAGTAGATATTCCTAGATATATTACTAAGTTTAACTGTGGTATACGTTGCGCAGGTTGCAAGTTATTCTAATAGTGACTTGGTTATCCAAAAGTAAAACTATATGTGTGCTTTTTGAAACAATAAGACATAAATAAATAACGTTTAATCAACTTTAATGGCTAATCTTTACGTTTGTAAGGGAGTGTAAAACGAATGTATATCATTGTCTGAAGCAAAAAATGCTATATCATCTACATATACATATTTGTATACTTCATTATGATTGGAATAGTGCTTAGCAATATCTGAAATATAGTAAGCGGTGTGACTGATTCCTCAGGAATGGCTTGTTAAAACCTGGAATTTATGCTTGAAGAATGACACTTCTTAAAAAATAAAACTCACTCCTCAGTTACAGACTCGCTAGACCACCTCACCATATAGTTAGACGTACCAAAAATTTCAATCGATCCAATTATATGTTATGTTCTACAGTGTCATAAGCTTTTGACTGAGAAGATTATTGTTGCTTTCTCTCTCTCTCTCTCTCTATTTTTTTTTGCCCGCGCGGGAAAGGAGCGTGTGGAGCACGCGGACCCGACAGCGTCGATGGGTTGACGCGGGCGCGCTTGATCGCAGGTTTGATCACGAAATAGTCTGGGGTGCTGTTGCGCGCTAACTTTCAATCGCTGTGAGCCAAACCTCCGAACTGAACTCGATCCACACCGGCCTTGATTGCGAGCAAAAATGTTTGTGTGACACTGATGTCATAGTGCGGTGTGAAAGCAAGCCTGACTGCGTGCGTACGTTCGAGCCACAGCCGCTTCGACGGCACCAAGCTGGAGGTGGCAGCCACATTTCGTCGAGAATCATGTGAAATAAAAAAATACACTTTCAAGTTCGTTTTATACTCTCATTTTTAGCTTTCTAGAAGCTATCCAGTTTTATTTTGACCTGATGAAAGGAGCAAGCGAGCATCACCTAAATAGCGCACACAAAATAAAAACTGTTTATTATACAGCCCCCACGTCCTGTTCGTACACAAGTATAAAGATTGAAGCTTGGTGAGCACGAATCCTTCAAAGCAGCATGCTTCTCTAATATCCCCACCGATACGACAGCGCAGAAACTAAAAAAACAAACAAAAAAGAAATACGCTTCTTTTGATACACAAAGCGTGCGTCTATGACGACCAGACATTTCGTGCGGAATGCTGCGAGCTGTCTGGCATGATATGTCTAGAAAAAGAGCCAATTCATTCCCAGTCGTCGCCGTCGTGATAACGCTGACACACCACGCTCTATTTATTATCTGCGCACTGAGGTGAAGCGACAGTGTCAGGGTGTGCACCGTTTTTCTTTCATTATGTTTTATTCATTGCGCGTCACTGCATACGTTATGGTGGGACTTTTCAATTCTTTAAGGTCAATGCGCCACGTGGTGTCGTTCACGCGAACTGAATCGCTGGTGTCCAGAAAATTTGGATATGAAAAAAAACAGAGCACAAAAGAGATAAAAAAACTAGAAAAGAAAGCGAGAGAATCAAGGAAACAGACATAAAAGGGAAGTAAAAAGTAGAGACAGAGAGCAAGGGAAGAAAGAGAAGAACAGGTTCAAAGAGCGAGCCCAACAATAAAGGAAATGAATTGAGTGAGACAGAAGAAATATAAATGAACATAAACAAAAAGAGACTGCGAGGTAAAGAGGTAGACAGAGAGAAAATACACACAGAAAATACAGAAATATAAAACTAAACAATGGCCAGTTTCAACTAAAAAGAACTGTCTAGAGATGCGAAGCAGTTGGCATGCTAACGCTTACTCTGGCGATGGCGTTGAGGCTAGCTCTCATCACGGCGTTGCGCAGAGGAGAAACCTGGGGAGGTGAGAACGATGCAGTGATAGACTGGTGTTTCCTACTACGACATCCAGATTGCTGCTAATGGGCATTGAGAGAAAGAAACCCGCAGTTCGCTTTTAGTTAACGCGCACGCTGCGAATTTTTATTCTTCAACAACACATAGGAGAAATGACTCACTGTCACTACCTTGGAGGTCAAGATCTAGCGCCTATATATACGGGATGGCCTGTTAACAATTGTGCAGCCGGAGAGGTCCACTTTTTTTAGATCAAGAAAGTTGCTAGCAGACGCTGCCTGCGTTGGCGTAGCGAGTCAACAGAGAGGGGAGCGTAGGAGAGGACAGAGAGAGTAATATTATAAAAATTATTTAGCCTGACTCACTTTCACTTCGGCACCAAAACTTTGCATCGCCGTCAAGGCAACACACAATTTTTCTGCGAAATAAAATGCCTTAACAACTACTTTTCGTATTCATAAATACCTGCACAATTTTTTTCAACATGATCGGAGATGTCGAAAATTGAACAAATACAAAGGGCTCGCTTCTCTCTGTTTGACACAATATTAATGCGATCTAACAAACAATAATACCAAGGAAATGTAGGGTAAGGTATTAGACCCAATTGTAAATGTGAAGAAAGAAAGGTGCACGGTGAAAAGATAACTTGCCCTGAGGAGGAACCAAACCTTCGACCTTCGAATAACGCGTATATAACGCGTATGAAGTTACAACCTCAAGTGTACGAACGTGGTTGGATTTCGTCAACATCGAAACACTACCCTTTAAGTAAGAATCGAAACCACAGCGTTGTGTTTCGCAACTGAACAACTATCGATAGATTTCGTTGAACAAACTTTACAGCATCGTAAATTGTAATTAGTCATATATTGTATTGTGCTGTCTGTCGCCCAACCTATAGCCTTGAATCCTCCAATAAATCATAAAATTATGCAATGAAAAAACTGAAGAACGAAGAAACAAAACATAAAGCGATTCCATGTGAGGAAAATCAGCAGCAGTGTTGCCCGCGTGGCCTATTGAACAAGGCGTCTGATTCCGGATCAAACGATTGCAGGTTCGAGTCCTGTCGCGTACGGACACTCCGTTTTTTTTTTACTGTATTCGCTTTTCTCTTTTGAGAACATCATTATTTTTTCATGCACATGCTCGAAGGCGAAAGCTGAATTTCAAATAAACTAAGACATTGGGTAGAATCCTGTTCTACAAAGTTTTGTCCTCCCACTAAAAGTGCCCGCTTCGGATATTCTGACTTGGTAGCAGTGGGGTTTCAGCTTCGGCAGCCTGATGTGAATGCAACTGGCATTGATCATGTCAAAGTTATGCTCATATCTAGCGTCTCGGAAAACAATGCGCTCGGATAAGTGTGAATAACTGACCACATGCTTGCGTCCCACTGCCGGCACGTGGTCTACATTGCGGAAGTATGCGCGGTACTTCAGTTAGCTCATTGAAGAAAAACCATAATGCGAACACTGAGAATCGATTTTCTGTTCAAGAACTTCACTGGCGTTTACGATACTCCCGAGTCCGGGATAAGAGCGCAGCTCTAAACGAGTTTTCATTTTCGATATGCTTACATCGACATGGTGGTGTAATGGTCATGGCTCTCGACAACTGAGCTGCAGGTCTCAGAATTGAATCCCGGCCGCCACGGCTTCTTCTTATTCTCCCATACTAATTTTACTTTGCCAAAGTTAAGGGGGTAATGACGAGAGCACCGAGATAGATAGAAACGATCAAAGTAGTATTGGTTTAATAAGAAAGGCATCGCATTTACAAGCTAGTAAAGAGGTCGCCAATGCGAGTATATAACCAGTTTCGATCATAGTTTACTGTCTCAACAGAACCTTCGAGTCAGCAAAAAATAGTGCCAGGAAGTTCTGCCGTTGCTAACCATGGAGCCTTATAATCAGATATAGAAAGGAAATCCTTGTTTGACTAAAAAAATTAACAGATGAAAATGTTATAAATTACACAGACCATACAAATAAATATTGTAAGCGATTTTATAAAGAGTGTACGTTGTCTTCTTCAGGGTAAAGCATACTGTATAGACAATGAGAAAGAATTCTAGGTCCTGTGTCCTCGCACTGTTCATGCTCGTTCCTTCAGTCGCCATTTTGCTAGAAACTATAACCACTAGAGTCAGACAAGGAGGCCGTCTTGGTTAACGAGCATCGAATCGAGTCCCTGCGTGTGGAAGTTGACGTCGGAATGTCCAGAAGATCTGCTTCTCCTCTTCACCGGTATCCGTTGTCAAGGCGTGTCGGCGTTGTCAGAGCCGCCGCACTGATATATGAAAGCCGAGCACGTTTGAAGGAGCGTGACCAGCCTGGAGCGTCTTTTTTCGGTCTTATTTTACACACACTCATCCAGAGTCACCGAAGACAGCCTCACTGAGGAAACCAATTCACATCAGCTCACCACCAAGGATCTAACGAAGCGCAATGATGTACAGGTATTCAGTTCATGACATTTATCGTGGACACAGTCAGCCCCAGTGGCACTCAACAGCAGCTGTCGACCGCGCCATACAACTGGACCAAGTGGCACTTTCCTCGTCAGAAAAAAAAAGATCTGTGAAAGAAAGAAACCCTATTTTACGCTCTAAAGCTTTCGAGCCACCGAGCCAATGCCGCAGCCGCTATGGTGCATACGTGGCGTTCTGTGCAGGACCTAGCCCACCACGCCGTCTTCCAACCAGAAGCCCGAATGCTGAAAGGACGCCACTGACTTCCGTGCGCTGTTCCCGGCATGCAGTTGCCGTTCGTTCAGCGTAAGAGTTGCAGAATTTGTATCACAGCGGCTGGCAACGTCGGGCATGTCGGCAGCATTGAAACGCCTGCTTCTCGGATGTGGTCCAGCTTCTCGCTGTGGATCTTGCAGCACCTTCTCCTGCTGTTCCTTCAGCAGGCGGGGTTGGATGATCACAAGGCTGGCCTATAAAGTTTTCGCCAACTCTTCGTACGTCACACGCTACGCTGGCATAACTTTTGACGTGCTTCTCTTTTTCTCAATTGGCTCAACTTGTGCAATAAAATAATTGGTTCGAAACGCTGGTCTATAGAATATATTTTTGTCTCTGTAAGAATCGTTGTGCGCCTAATCAGACGCTGTCACTTGATGTCTTGCCCACGTTGAAGGGCCCATCACATCAGAGCTGTTAAGGTTTTGGCAGTTTGTCGTAGATGTAAAATATCATAATCATGTACCGGGACGTGCCATCTTCGTTCTCGTCTGCTTCGCTACCCGGAGACGAGCACCGATTTGTTTGGCGAATGCTGCAATTCTTTTATGGGCGAGGAAAGAACATAAAGAGAAAGACAAAAGGAAATAGAAAGCAGAAGAAAGAAATTCTTGGCGAAAAAAGTTTTCGTCGAGGTGAGATTCAAACCAGCGTACCGACAATCTGAAGGTGATCGTCCTACCCAATCAGTCGTATAGGCACGCCGGCATGGAGCATAAGCTTGTACATTATAGCACAACCACCTCCCTGCCTTTCCCTGCATCTCACTCTCTCTCTCTGTCTGCCTCTCTCCACAGTACAACAAGGGGGTGGGACTCGGAAGCTAGCTTAAGGAGGAGACATGTGACAATTACGAGAAAGAATGGAGGATGAGAGAAAGAGTACAAAAAGAATGATGGTGATTGAAGCAGGAATAGATAGAACTGAAAAAAAAAAACAGAAAGACAGAATGCGACTGACCGACTAAAGAGAGACGCAGAAATAAGATAGGGAGAATCACAGAAAAAGACAGAAGGCGCGAGACCAATGACTACACAAAGAAAGTAATTGAGAAAGACACAGAAATAAGAAGAAAAAGAGAGACAAGAAGGAAAGACAGAGAGAAAAATACAAAAGGAGAGAGAAGGAGCTTGAAAGTAACGCACAAACAAAAAAAATATAAGGCGAGTGTCACGAGTAAATTGACTTGTGGGCAGACTGCAGAGAAAAAGGGCAAGAAGGAATAAGGCAAAGGAACGTGTTTAGAATAAAAAAGCACAAAATGAAGACTGAAAAAGGAAACGGCATATTGACGTTGCAATCGAGGAAAGAGTTTGACGAAGAAGTAAGAAGTGGGCGCAACTTGAAATTTCTACTGGTGTAAATATTCTTAAAATAGTAATGAAATACTTTTATTGATTTGGCTATCTTTGTTCTGATTTCTGTTCAAAATACCAATTAAATGTTCTGAGCTTAATGTTCGCAAACATTTGTAGCACTCTTTTCTTGTTACGTATGGTTTTTTTCTTTTCATTTATTTTATTTATTTGTAATGTATTATACTTAGATTCCTTAAATATCATTGACTCAATTCTTATCCTATTTCTGGAAGACCTGAATAGTTCAGGCAGCCTGCCACTTCCAGTTGTGCTTGACCGGAGTGGTGCGGACCAGGGTCTAGTTGTCCTGTATCTGGCCGAGCCGATGACCTTTGCGCGGACTTTCTGAAGACTTCTTTCTTGGTCGACGTATAGTACTTTATATGGTACTTGCGTGCGCGTAAAAGTAGGCAATCAAATTCATACGTCAGCTCACTCAGACTAAGATCGAACCATGTGTCTCAGTCTGTATAATTTCGGTTCAAGAATTTTTCGGCGAATCTGATTCCAAGGGAGCCTTGAGCACAAGATATAATTCTTGGGTGAACTGCGAATATTTTTTGCCAACCTATACCGATAACTGCAAGATATAATTCTTGGGTGAACTGCAAATATTTTTGTCGACCTATATCGATAACTCCTCTACTTCAGTACTACTATCACCCTAATTAAATGGGCTTACCTTAATCCTCACGTCTACTCGCACATACTTCAATGCAAATCGCTCCCTTCGACCAATTTTGATATACTTCTGGTGCAAGCGCTCAGCCAGCGATTGTACTTTTTGATAGAACAGTCGGTCATCAAAAGCATTATTGAAGGAAGGGGAGGCGCCTTCGCCCTCCCCGCGACAGACTGTTTCGTGTAAAGTTCTTGATAAAAATATATTGTGCGAGCCGTATTTTTCAATAAAAATGGCCTTCTGGTTCGGAGGCACTGATAACTAGTATCTGAAGATACGATTTTAAAATGCGTATTTTAGGGCACCGATTAGGTGAGACGGTGTTAAAGTGCATTGACATCTTGATAGAAAAAGCTAAAAAACTTCTGAGTCGACTGACACAGACTCGAATGGAGGGACAAGTTTGAGGGAAGAATATTTTGTTAAGCTTGATACCGAGTGAATTCAGCTGTGAAACGTTTTAGTGAGTCAGGTTGATGGAAATTACGGTGAGCAAAAAATATTTCATGAGTGAGCCTGAATAAGCTACCCCCCTTTTCCCAACTTGAGTGTGTTTGCGACAAAGAGAGGAAGAGAAAGCGACCGCGCGAAACCGTGCGTAAGTGTACACATCTGCTATGGGGAGAAGCGTTCAAGAAGACGCAAAAATCCAGCGCAACACTCACCGGTGCTCCAGTCTAACTGCGCGCGCACAGAAACCTTGGCTTCGATGCCTGGCTCCCAAGCGGACTCATTGCTGTAGTACAATAGCGCCGACAGCGAGTGAGACCTGCAAGAACGAGGTTAATCACTACGCTGTGTGAGTTGTTTGCACATATAATGTTTAAACCAATACTCATTTTTCACTATGTCTGAGGCACTGGACTCTGGCCTACAGAATAATGTTAACAAGTTGTTATTCTTCCACACACAGCTGCATTGCGCCTGATTGAAATGTCGCTAGCAGAATGGAATTTACAGCCGCATAATTTGCAGCAAAGTGTCCCTGCCACTGTGTTGCAGAATGGGCACCTCCCCAGTCCAGTTCCATTCCTGGAGCTTAGTACTTGCCGCAGTTCCATTCCTTTCAATTTCGTGGAATGAAAATACTTGGCCATTTTCCGCTCCAGGTGTGGCCGGGCAGTTCAATTTCATCTTAGTAGTTCATCATCTTGACAGCTATATTTAGTTGAGAATGAACGCCTCATAATGCTGATGTCATCAGATGCATTAAGAACTGCAAAAGTACACAAAAAACGTTATCAAGGTCCAGATAGAGTAGCGTGATGACATATCTCTTGCAGTTCCGAGCAAAGGCACTCAGTTGTCTAGACAGGAGGACAATATTGCTAAAGGGTGAGTGTGAGGTGACACGACGCGCAAGCTTGTATACGAGACCTTGCAGTCAACACAAGCATCACACCAGCGTCGATGCGTATTAAAACTCGGAAAAGTCTTTTTTAATATGCGTCCTGGTCGGCGGCATTGACAAACGGAAAAAGGATGGGTGGTAAACTCTATCGAAACCAAGTGAGCGGCAGAGCCACTTGTGCTTTACACAACACTAAACGAAGTGGCATATAGTGAGGTAAAAGTAAACGCCTATTGTTTGCCATGGTAGCTCTCAGAAATTTTGGAAGTTATGGTAATAATTTGAACAAAATTGAACAAAATTGGGAGTTTGCTATGAGCCCCGCCGCGGTGGTCTAGTGGCTAAGGTACTCGGCTGCTGACCCGCAGGTCACGGGTTCGAATCCCGGCTGCGGCGGCTGCATTTCCGATGGAGGCGGAAATGTTGTAGGCCCGTGTGCTCAGATTTGGGTGCACGTTAAAGACCCCCAGGTGGTCGAAATTTCCGGAGCCCTCCACTTACGGCGTCTCTCATAATCATATGGTGGTTTTGAGACGTTAAACCCCACAAATCAATCAGTTTGCTATGACACAAATTTATTGTCGCTAATGACCATAAAAAATGCGTTAGCCTTACTTTGGTTCTCTTTAGTTCACCAACACATTTATTTTAATTCAGATTCATGAAGCGCGTCAACATCGTATCGTTGAAATGAAATTGTCGCCTTGTCCATATAATAAATCAGCAATCTAACATAAAAATAAAAAGTGCTGTGAAAGAAAGTTCTTAACATACGCGCGTAAAATTTTTTTTTCTTCGTCAACTTCTTTTCACAGTGACGTCTTTTACTGGAAAGAACGCAAATTCAGTGTTTCAGCTGCCATGCAGGTATACCGCACAGTTTATTTCGCTTTGTTCTAATTGCACAATTTGTAATTGGAATCAGCTCTTCTTCTTATTGAATCTGAGACTCGCTTGTCGATACAAAGACTTTAGGGTGCCACTGAAAGAGTAAAAATAAGCCGTTTGCGATAGGCTATTCATTACCCGTAAGTGTCTTTTTCCGTACCTAATAAAAGAATTCAGAAGGGAACAAAAGCTTCTCGGCAATCATCTAGCGCTCCGCATCAAACAAGCAGCATAACTCCAAAAATATTTGGATTTTCCGCACTTTCAATAATGCTGAAAAAGTCCGTCCTCGGACAATTATACCCCGCAATGTTGTCAGTGAAATTAGCGACGCGCTTTAGCGCAGAAAGTAGCAAGCGGAAAATCGTTAACGGGAGCTTAAGAAGACAAGCTCAACAATTTGCATAAATGTGGCACTTCAACCCTGAATTCGCACGCTTCGCAAGCCCGTTGTTTTCTCAGGTAGATACTCTTCGAACGTCGGAGATGTTATGTACTGTACGGCTCCTCACTACGCTGCTACCATACTGCATTCGGGAAGCACAATAGTCGCGCCTTTGTCGGTCCAGCAGGGCTAGAAGCATGAGCTCAATTGTGCACCTTTATCGGGCTTCACGCTTCTGCTGGAGACGCGCAAGTGTCGTCGTCTGCCGGAGACACGCGACTCCTTTGGCGCCCCGCTTGCCGCGTGATCGATCCCTGCACCTCCACGGGCTTCCGCACACAACGCCCGTTCCTGCATGGCCGCATCACCACGCGTTGCGCAGGACCCTTTCTCCCGAAAGGGAGAAAAGGGAACCTCGGTGCCAGTTCACGTGGGGTAGAAAGGGCGCCTAGGGAGAAGTGATGCCTGCAAGCCTGTGGAAGTGAGGGGACTGCGCGCAGGACCTCCCCTTTTCCGCTCCTCGGTTGGGAGTGCATGGGAGGTCGGAAAGCGGGCATGCATACCAAATTTAAGCGGATCACAATATAAACACCCGCAAGCGATGCGGCTCACTCGCCCCCTCACTTCACTGTGAAATATGAAGAGAATAATTGACGAGAACGGTGGGAGGGCTGGCGCCCTCGGAACTCGGCACCGCTTGTGGATCACAACCGTCACGGCCCGCGGCCGACGTTCGTCTATCGCTTCCCCTCGCAGCACCACGCTCGCTCCTCTTAGCCGACCTGCCCTTTTTCGTAAGCGGGAAAACTAAAAAGAGTGATAAAGCAATCCGAATGAACACTGCGTATAAAATGGTCTGCAAAGGGCTTGTCGACTGATGAGAGTAAAAGGGAGCTGCTAAGAGCAGACCTGTCTGCCACCAAATGAATTCGCCATCAATTACACGCTTCACACGCTCCGGCCACATCACGTGGGCGAGAGAACGTTTAGGCAGTTCCTTCGTCATCTTGTTCTTCACCAAAGGAAGAAAACATGATGACAAAAAAAGAGAGAAAAGGGGGGATTTCTGGGCTGAATAATGCGGAAAGCAAAAATAGACCAAATCATTATAATTTCAAAAATTTGCATGCTGTGACTCATTGTATTCTTGGGAGATAAGAAATCACGCGACTTGAGAACGCTCTGAGGTTGAGCCTTGGGATCAAAATGATGTCGGTCATGCGCATCGACGTCAACGGCATTCGCGCTTCCACGTTCATGTCATTCAAGTTCTGGCATCTCGGGGAGACGTCAGAACGAGTGCTTCACGCGTTCGAATCTCGGCTTTACTACACGAGACAGCTGTACGGTCACCACACATTAGAAAAAATATTTTAAGGAACTTGTTAGTTCTATTTCAATTTGCTTCTTGTCATGCTGTTTCCGCATCGTCCCACTCGCAAGAAGCGAGCACGAACCGCGAAAAGTAGTTTAAAGAACGTGCTGTCTTTGTCGAACGTTCCCAAGCTATTGGGCACATAAGTTAGCCCGTTGTCTGACCATATATAGATTTAGTAGTTTTTTTTTCTGCGAAGGAACGAGCTCCTTTTTTCTCTCCTTGCTTTTGAAAGCGGTTGCTATCGGCAGCATACTAGCAATGTTTACAACCAAAGCGACGCTCATCATATTTGTTCCGGGATTAATATTAAAAATTTAACGACATTTTTCCAAAGGAAACTGTCATTGGATGCGAAGCAGCAGCGTTGTGCACGGACGCGATCGGCGTTTCTGACTCACGCCTTGTCGGTGTCATTGGTCCTCCGCTGCCGACGCTTGCGCTCGGCTTTCCTGGCTCGTACCTCATCCGCGTTGCGGGTGCGACGTCGCCATTCGCGAACGCGATCAGCTCTGCTGATAGAGTCGCCTGAAGTGAACAAGTGGGTACTCTGGCACGGCGATCGTTCCGCGACCATGGCAATGATGAATAATACATGAATTTGCCTAGTCTTCGTACTTGGGAGCGGTGAATCACTTGTGGCTTTGTTTATTGCTGTGTTTCGCTTTTGTTTCGAAAGAGAGAACAAAGCCTTTTGAACTTTGTTGCCCGATTTGAAACGGTAAGCATAAATAACTATGGTGGTCAAGCGGAACCGCTGAACCCGAAACCCCGAAGTAGCGGAGCAATAGCTATAGCTATAGCTATGCTCGACAGCAAACGGGAACTCATCTACAGCGACTCCAGAGCGACGATCAAAGCCTTCGAACGCGGAGTCATCTCTGACCAGGCGTTACGTATTCCGCGCAGAGCGGACCCGAGTGCCCTATAGCACCACACTGTCATCTGGTTTCCCGCCCATTTCGTCCAGGTGCCGGGTTCCCTATCCAACCTCAACGAGATCGCTCATGATGCAGCGCGTGCACTTACCAACCGCACCACCCCAGGACAACCTCATCTTGCTGAGGTAGAGACCAATCGGGATGCACCCATTACGTACAATGACATAACAAAGCACTTTTACCTGGAACGCCGCATTTTCCCATCCCCACATCCGAAACTTAACAGACCACAGGCATTAAATCTACGCCTATTACAGACACACACGTACCCAAACCTTGCCACGCTTCACGTTTATTATCCTGATGCATACCCCAGCGACACATGCCCATCATGTGGACACACAGCGACACTCGCACACATGCTCTGGGAGTGTAGAACAACTCCTCCCGACTCTACCTCAAGCAAGTGGGAGAGGTCCCTCAGGAGCTCACTTCTCGCCGACCAGCAATGGGCCGTCCAGCAGGCCCACGAAGCGGCCGCCAAGTACTCCCTGTCGGTCCCTACGTGGGAGACGCCCGCTACGCGCTAAGCACGTCCTACAGGACTGAAATAAAGTTTTTTTTCATTCCATTCCATAACCTGACGCCGTCGCCTGTTCAATGTATTTGTGCCTTGCGCGTCGGTATTGCGGAGGAGCCTACCCTTTGGTAAATCTTGTCAAAGTCTATTTACCCCAGGCTGCCAGACAAGTTATTAGAACCAATGGAATATATATATATATATATATATATATATATATATATATATATATATATATATATATATAAGGGATTATAGGAAGTATCACGCAGGCTCTGATAGTATAGAAAAAGGAGTAATTCACACACA